ACCACAGCTCAGAGGTTTCGCCCTCTGGACAGCACATCCGACCCTCACCTCCACATCAACGGTCAGCCCCAGGCCCCCCTGCTGCGTCCCCAGTACAGAGGGGTCCCTCCTCTCGCCAAAGTCAGGCCCCCTCACAACAGCCAGCAGACAGGTGAAACACCGTCACTGCTCGTCCAGAGACACATTCCTCTTTCATGATAGTTTTATTGAGCTTTCTTGTTCCCTCTCTCTCTCCATAGGCTCAAATGCAGAGTCCTCCACAGCCAACTTGAATAACCTGAAGCGGGGGCCCCAGCTACGGCAGCCTCAGCCCCTCCTCTACATCACCACCACCGGCACCGGGGCCCAGCGCACGCGCAGACACTGAGCCCACACCCGCATTTACCCCCAGCACCAGCTCCAACACTCTCTAAAACCAGCTGAGCCCTGAGCCTCTAATCACAGAGCTGAGAGCATCCACCCTCAGCAAGTGAACACTTTTATCTCTCAGTGACTGACAGGAGGCAAGATTGTGAGACAGTGTGGAGGAGAGTAACCAGACAGGAGCTGGATACCTCCACACAGGTCTCCGCCGTGCTTTGTTGTGGACGCTGAGCGATGGCGCTGACGGGCTCTGAGACCTACAGACGCCATAGACTGCTAGACGTACAGTGCATGTTCCGTTCTGTCAAGTGTTTCCGCTTTAGCTTTGCTGTCGTGCTGAATTGCTCGTGTTATCATTCAGTCGGGGTGATGTCAAGCTCACAGTGAATGCAAGACTGTAGTAATGTTTGTTAGCTTGTTGTCCTTCAGTGCTTGTTGTGAAGGCCAGAAACCGAGTTACTGGAGATGTTCACGGGGCTCGACGTCACAGTAATGATGTAAATAAGACTGGAGGAAAAAAGACTGGCTTTATTAGGACTTTAACAAAAGGTGAGACAATATTAATGGCAATGTAAAAATAAGGCCTCCTGTCAAAATGTTCCAGCATCCGTTTATTTGAGTGAGGTTGTTTCAATATGACATGCTGATATTTGAGGGGGGAAAAAAAACTTGATCATCTTAAATTTTTTTTTTGCATTTCTGGATTCGGCGTTGTGTTTCGGCACGCCCCAGGTCTATGCCTTTTCTCACCCCAGGAGTCACTTTGTAAATGTCCCATGTGTGTAGATACACAGTGTAGTACCGCGAGAGGTTTGTTCAGCTTAGTTGACTGTGTTAAATAATGAATTATTTAACTGTTGCCTTTTCTTTTATGTTATCGTCATTGTTTTCATAATTACTACTTTCTATGCTTTATTTTGTACATTTTTTTTTTAATTTGTACCCAAATAAATTTAAATGAAACATGTAAAATTGTTGCTTATTTTCCAGTTCAGCTGCTTGTGTTGTGTTTGTAGTAAAACAGATTTATCATCTTGGATAAGGTCAAAATGCTGCAACAGAAACTCCTACATGTGTGCTACATCAGACACAGAAATAGATGTTTGTTTGTTTTCCAAATACTAAAAAAGAATCCCGTCATGGGAGCACAACAACATTTTTTTTTAGAGACTTGGAAGACTTTCTCCTGACCTGATGGCTAAAATCCAAAATGTCCACTAGATGGCGATGAAGTCCACAGGTCGAGCTATTCAGGCTGCAGTAGAGTAAAGTGCGCCATCTGCTGGGCATTCTCACTACTGACAACACCAGTCTGAAAAGCAATCTAAACAGTTACTTTTATTTGAAATAATATTTAGAATTTATTGCTAAGATCTTGCTCCTTTTGTGCAGACATCTATGATTATTTTTAATTCATTATTTTTACATAGATTTTCTTGATAGGAGCAGGGATCATTATATGGGCACTATTCAAAATGCACAGCTTAGAATGAATGTGGTGGTGTAGATATTATTTAATCTGCTGAGTCTGTGTCCATATGCTGCCTAAAACACAGCAAATCATTTTATTTGAGTAATCTACACTCACAAAACCATTATATTATAAGTCAAGAAATAGTTTGTAAGCTATTCTGTAAAAAAAATAAAAATAAAATAAGTGCATAAACCATCTTAAATTCTCCATATAAGTGCACTTACATATTATAGTGTGATTTACAACAAGTTTGTGGCCGATCACAGCTCCTAAAATCAGATAAACAAAAAAATAAAGCAAGAAAACAACTGAATAAACACAAGACTTCACACGTTTGTATTTGGAGACGCTGGAGTCGGAAATACCGCCCCCTCTGTTCTACTGACGGCGCTCACGTCCAATGACAAATCACTCCTCGCGTGATTGACGTGCCCGTCGACCAATCAGAGGCGCGATTACTGCTCCGGGGCGGTAGTGCACGTACAGCTGATTTGCAACCCGCCGAAGCAACAGCAGAGAAGAAGGAAAAATGTCGCTGGCTCCGACGCCGACCGTTCTAGGATCAGTGTCGTTTTAGGAAGCACCGCACGGCAGCTCGGTGAGTGGGACAACCGTCACTAGTTGCATCCAAGGTTGGGGCTTGAGAACCCGCCGTGTCCCGTCCGGGACCGCGGCCGTTTCGCCGGTTTTTTGTGTGTCGTTTCAGGCCGAACAAACAGCAGCAGCGGCGGCGGCTGGCAGCCATGATGGATGTTAGTTAATGTGACCGTGTTGATGAAATGTGCGTCTCTAGGCGGTAGCTTTAAACTAAAGGGGGGTTTCTACGCAGCTGCAGGTCAGAATATATCACAGAGGCAACCAAATGTTTCTTAAACTCCAGGTAGACGTGATAAAGCTAACATTTTACGATATGTTTCTAGCTATTAGTTTGCGCATCGAGGCAGCCTGAGCGGGAGAATCAAACCGCTCCTTTAAAAGTTAGTTCAGTTGTTTTCCAGGCTACTTATAGGTCCGTCCTCAGAAGCAGAGAGGAAACAGTTGTTGACACCAAAACAGTGGACCTCTATCGGTCCTATCTCGTGTGTCAGACCCGTCGTGTTGTTTGCAAGGCTGCTTTAAACGCTGTTCCGTTCATACGGAGCTGTGCGTAATGCGTCTGGAGAGGTGCTGCGCTTTGACGCGCGGAGCAAATCACATCCCTGAATCAAACTAATACCAACACAAAGTGGAGGAAGTCACTGAGGATGGTGTGGGCAGCAGTGTTTCGCCACAAACAAGGAGCACTTGGATTGTTTGGTGTTTAAACTGGGGTGTTATGTGATTATGTAGACACACTGTTGACGTTATTTATGTGTGAAAAATGTCAGTTCAAGACCTATACCAGCCTGAGCCTTTTTGTTTTTCCAAATAAGTTCCTTTGATCCGCATGAGTCTAGTGTGCAGTTATCGCACTGTTTAAATGGAATTATAATTAATCTCTGAACAAAGATAACAGTTCTCCAGTTCTGATATTCATTTAATATTGTAGTACACAGGAAATCCGGCTCGCATTTAAGAAGCTGCAACCTGGAAATGAATCAATTATGAAAACTGCAAAACTAAGAAAATTATTTTACTCCTGACTGTGAACTCATCCATAGTTCAGTGTCCCAGCTGCAAACATCACACTCTCAGTCTCTGATCGTCATCTCAGGAGACTTTAATCGCTCTCGACCATCTCCCCACATTCAGCCAGTATGTGGACTGCCCAACCGGAGATGGTGGGGCCTTGGACCTGCTGTGTGCCGACACCAGGATGCATATTACTTAATGATTGTTATTTTCCTGTACCTTTATTATTTTTGGATGCTGCTGTGGTGTGTAAACGTCCCAGGTCTGAGATAAATAAAGTATTCTATTCAAACACACACACAAAACAAAATGGACACACTGTGATCTTCAGTCCACACATCAGGACGACAAACTGAGCTGGTGTTGAGGTCAGCTGAAGTTGCGGAAAAAAGCGTGAACTTAAATAAGATTCTTTAACCTGCTAATGGGCGTCATAGGTCCCTCCAAAGCTTGATTATCTCCTGATTTTCAACACCAGTCATGAGCAATATTCTGTCTCCAATCAGTCCTTTGTTTCTGAGGCCGACAGAATGTCTCCTCCAAAGCTCATAGAGGACTCTCATCTTTATCTTTGGAGACTGCACACACTCAGTGTCCATTTCATGAGCCACAGCATCTACCTGAGCCCTTTTCTTATCATTACATCACAGTTTATTGGTGTGGTTTTCACTCTCCTGAATAATTACCATCAATAAATTCTAGCTTATGCTGAACGATACAATCATATATCTATTAAATATGTGTAAATATAGACTGGCTTGCTGGGACATGCACTTGATCATTATTTCCAACAGCCTATAACGGATTTACAGTAATTCACAATAGAAATTAATAGATTACGGCAAGTCCAATTCAGTTATAAGTTCATGGAAGTACTGCAGTTTGTGAGAAATTCTTGCACCTCGTGGACAATATTTAACTGTATAAACAATCAGCATTATTAGGCTGCATAAAGTACAGACAATAAGTCTGTCATTTGACAACAAACTGCATTTTTCTGTTATTTCACATGATTTCAGAGACAAAAGTGGTTTTTATGAGCGAGTCGATGAAACTGCAGTAAACAAAACTGCCTAATTTTTCTTAAATTCTCATCGTTTTTGCGGTTAAGATTTCCTTTGATATCGGCTAAAATCTCTTCATGGGGCTCCAGAAATTCCTTTAAGCAGGAGAAACCCCGACTTTACAGCTTTATACGTTTGCACCTTAATCCCCCAGGAGAGAGATTAGCAGCAGCTCACGTTTTGTTGTTTGGTTCCATTTAAACCCGAACGTCTGTCCGTGTGAGTGATTTCACTTCATCCCAAGACATATCAAATAAATGATGTGTCTCTAAATAACCCAAACGAGCTATATTTCAGCTAAATATCAACAAAGTTTGAGTGAACAGCTGCAGAATTTCAGCTGGACGTCGATGCAGTCGCTGCAAATACTGTCATGAGCGTGTCGTCTGCTCAGATTTGGTTCAAGCGTTTAATAACAACCTTAAAAAGCACAACCTAAACTTCATGATTTTCCTCTTTTTTTCCAGAAACTTCTTCTATGATGCTGCGCGAGGGATTATCAGCGTCATGAAACAGGACAAAGGAAGTGAAATGTTGTAGCCGGTTCCTTGTGGGAGGTTCTACCGTGACAATAGAGGGAGTCAGCTTACGTTCCTCTGATCAGGTCAGCTTCAACCATTTAGGAACAGAGGCGTGTGCTGTAACACTACATGGGCCTCTGAGGTAACCTGAACTGATAATTAACTCCTCCTGCAGACAGAAAGGTAAAAAATTTCAATAAAGACATGGACCCGTCTACCAGGGTGGTGGGTCTGGACGCCCAGGGGAACATGGTTTTCACTGTGGTCAAGCCGGTCATGGGCATTTTTCAGGTAGCTTCGGATCAAGCCGGCAGCGTAGCACAAGGGGGAATGAGCCTGCAGGGTTTATCTGAAAACACATTAGTCCTCCCTCAAGCACAAGGTCAGGCTCCACTGGACCAGAACCAGATGGAAATGCACAGCATGCAGCCTCATATTCAGCCTCAGATGCAGGTTTCTGGCCCGGTCCAGGCTGAGGACGTGTCCCAGAGCCAGGAGCTGCAGCCAAACTCAAGCACAAACTCAGAGTCCGGCAGCCAGATGCCTTTTGCGGAGGTGTCGTCGCTCCTGGACCCCAACATGAAAGGATCGAAGGCTCGTAAGTGGTCGCCTGTTTGAGGATCTCACCCTGTGTGATGGGGTGGATCATCAATAACACATCCAAACCTGTGCATTAGGAATACTTTGTACATTTAAAAATCCTGTGCTAAACCACATGTTCATTTATTTAAGGCTTTTTGTATCGTATCACAATCACAAGTTCTATTTTAATTATGGCAGTAAAATCAGTAAAATGCACTGAGCAATGAACACAAGAAACTTCTTGAACTTCAGCCTTTCAAAAGTTAATTTATTTTAGTAGTTGTAACTTTTTTCACTTAAGATTTTGCACAAGATGCTGAGTTAAACCATCTGATTTGATATGATGCTCTTGCAGCCCAACCCCACTGCGCTGCTTCACCTCCTCCTGTTTTCGCTCCACTTTCAGGGAAGTATCTCATCTCCTATGACGAAATTAAACGGCGCCTGCAGGCCCCAGAGAAGATGTCCCTGCGGTCCTTGGCGGCGTACACTCGGGTCAGCAGAGGCCCGGCCAGCAAGAAAACACTCCTGGAGTCGCTGAATGTACTCGGCCTCACTCCAAGCACAACTACCTCCGTTTCCTCCTCGTTCTCCAAACTCACTGAAGGTGACAGAAGAAGTGTGTGTGAGGGAGTGTTAGAAGATGGAGAGGCTGTGTTTTAACGCTGTGGTTCTGTTTCTTTCACAGGCGACACCAGAGCTCTGTGTGACGATATGAAGGACTTTGCCCATGATTACATCGACTACGGCAACATGGCGAAGCAGCTCATCCCCGAGACGAATACAGTCCAACACTGGTCCAAAATTATTGAGACTAAGTACGTGTGTCCTCGCTGAAGGCCTTCCATCACATGGTTGTTGCACATACAAGAAAATATTAAGTTCTCTCCATTTTTCTTGCAGGAACCACCTTGAAGATATGAGGAAGTGTTTCAAGGACCCGACCAACAGCGGCGGCTTCGACAACGTCACTCACGGCCTCGGGCTTGGAATGCTGGACGTCGCGCTGGACATGATCGTCATGGTGATCGAGCAGCAGATTCGCATCCTGTCCGGCGCGGCGGCATCGGACCCGGCCGACTCGGGTCCGCCGATGCGTCGCATCCGCAGGCGCCACCGCAAATCCCGCTCCACCGACAACGACAAGACTCCCAAAGTGGCCGGAGGCGTGAAAGAGCAGGGGAAGGTCATTTCAAAAGGCAAGAGCCGAGCCAGAGCCCGGAAGAAGATGAGACAGGAAAGCCCGGGTCCTGTGGAGGCCCAGGCAGAGCAGTGCAAGCCGGACGACGTGGAGGGGAACGTCCTCACCCTGGTCTCTGTGGGCTACGAGACCGTGTCCAGTGGCCTCAATGCAGCTGGACCTGTTTGACAGCCAGTCACAAGACATTTCTAAAGACCCAGATCTGTTTAAACGGATCCTCAGCGATCGGACACAGGCTTCGTATAAGCCGAGCTGCTGTGAAGGAGAAAGCAGTTGTGCTGATCTCAGCATCGCCGTGCTACGCCACATGTTGGAGTTCATCTTAAAGAAGTAGTCTCATTCACAGAGAGTTGTGATGTGCAGCTGGAGGAGGGGGTTAGCTTAATGCAGCATGAAGACTGGAAACAAGGGGAAAGTGTTGGCCCAGATCCGTCCACATTTAACAATTTAAGTTCATCAAATATTATTTCTTAAAGCGACACAAAAACCAAAGTGTGAAAATGACAAGTCGTGCTTTATTTTGCGATTGAGCGATTATCAGTTTAACCAATTATCAGATTTGATATTCAGCATTTTTCCAGTTTCATAATTTTTTTGACGGATTCTTGATAAATTTTTTAAAAACTACTCTGTGGTGTCCAGCAGCTCCTCGCCTGCAGCGCTCTCTGATTGGTCAGAACTCATAAATGTGAAACAGAAATAAACAAGGCATTTCAACAAAGTCTGTGTTAGAGTTTGTCTTGTCTGAAAAGTCAACCTCTAGTTTTACTGTGGGTTATGTGACGAACTATCTTTGGCTTTAAACAAGGTTTTGCATTTATGTTTTTACTCTAATTAAGTAAACAGTCTGTGTTAGGGATGCATTATGATGTAATTAGTCAGCTCAGAGGTTCTGGTCGATGGATTTTCTTTCCTTTGGACTGATTTTTGAGAGCTGTTTCCAGTCTATATGCTAAGCTAGGCTAACCTGCTACATGCCTGCTGTGGATGTGAGAGGAGTCAGTCTTTTCATCCAAGGCCCCTTTCAGACATGCAATCATTAATCTGGTTACTAGTCTGTAGGATTCATGACGGCGATCTGACATGATCAGACCTCATGAGGTTGAGACAGTCGCATTAGGAGGCGTCAAGAGTTTGCTGCCAAAATCACACAGTTACGGTTTAAAATTTACAGTTAAATCTATTGGTACGTAGTAGATACGCATTGTGTCCCTACAGCTACTGCCCAGTGAATACCGTGTGTGTGCTGTGACTCTTTGACATTAATGTTAGATTTTGTCAACTCAATCAAAGTGACGTAATAGCAGAATGCCATCACTGTGACAGACCGATGAAGCCAGGAATGTTCCATGTCTGAAAAGGGCTTAAATCTGGGCAAGAAAGCCACTAAAGGTGGAGGATGTGATTCTAAAACCCCTTTTCTGGGAAACAATATGACACAAACCGAGACAACGCGACTGAAAAAACTGGATGAATTAACCACGTAAGACAACAAGACAAAATTCAAAGACAAATAGCTAAAACGAGACCACGACATTCATTCAAAAACACAAACTGGAACAAACCAAAACCAGAAACCAAAACCCCTTCTGGAAAACGATACGACACCAACCGAGACAACGCAACAAATAAATGGATTCATCAACTACTGAAGAAAACAAAAAAGAAAATAAGACAAACTTCGAAGGCGGATGCCCAAAAAGAGACTCGATCTCTATTCAAGAGCACAAATCAGAACAAACCCTAACCTAACGGAGAACATCAGAAACCAAACCCCTGACTAACCATGACAATAAGGAACTAGAGAGTAACGACAACGTGCGATGGCCGGTGCGTTTCTGTTAACTACCCACCCCAAACTGCCACGTGGACGGACACGGCAGGGGAAGATATCGAGATAAATTTTCAAAACCAAACCTATTCTGTCTCTTTACAATCCGCCAGCGGTCCATTCTGTGAGGGCTGAAGAGTGTGGCACATGCTAAGTAGCTAAGATGCTAACTAGCTTATTATCAACCAGACTCACAGTTTCCACCTTTAAGTCTGTTTCTCTACATCTCCAGCTGCTCCTTTAAGTGAATTCTCCTCGTCTTTAGGATCAGGTTTTGTATGTACGCAGTCCAACTGATTCATCGAATGAACTCGTATATGTATAAATGTCAACGTATATATAACACTCAGAAAACCTTTCATGCAGAGGTTCGGCCCGCAGCGTAGAACAGGTAACGTCTGGTTATATCAGGCATGTACATCTTCTGCAGGTGGTACAGTGTCTCTTGTTCCTCTGTTGTATTTATTGTTTAGATTTACACCTTTACATGTACTAGAACAATGAAAAGAACATTTTTACTGGAACCTAAAGCGTTGAGTAAAATATAAAGGTTTAGTTTTCATAACTACTCTGCCTCTATTTTTTCACTATGAATGTTGTGCCTATAAAAGTATTCACCCCGCTCGGAGGTCTCCCCTCTTATTGCTTTT